ATGACAGAAATGTTTATCCAGTATATAACTTTAGACAAAAGCCTCATATTGAGGGAAGCAGTGCCTAAGAACAGGGGTTTCCAAACTCCAGCTGTTGAAGTACTACAAGTTCCATCATACCTCTGGTAGTCTTGCCTGCGGCTGTCAGAGTCTTGCAAGGCCTCATGGGATTTGTAGTTCCTCAACACCTGGAAGACCATAGTTTGGAGACCCCTGCCTAAGAAGATAACAAATGGGGAAAACTGCTTATTCCCATGGGCAGGAAATGAGCTTGGCTTATATAGGGAAACTGTGACTTTGACTCGTTACACTGTGAAATGGCTTAAGAAGAGGTGTTTGTAATCAAGACTGAGGAGTAAGGTATATAATACACAATGCACTATTTAAAATTAGATTTTGCTTGAAGTTGGGTTATAAAGACACAATGTTTTTCAGTTTTCTTCCATAAAAAATAGGGATTAATCACAATGTAAAAACAGTACCTGTATTATCTGCTTCATAATAACTACGGTTTAAAAAGAAAGGTTGGGCAATTTGAAAACTGTATAACACCCCTGCCACATCGATCCCAACTTTGAAATCATGCAACTTCACTGTAAATCGCACAATTTCAAAGTTGGATGACATGCTGATTTGAGGTTCGATTTGCAAGACATTGACACAGATGTCTGCAAATCGCACCAAAAGTAGTGCATGTACTACTTAAAAAAAAAATCTGTGCAGCTCCGACCAAGCAGGAACTGCACCAATGTGACCGCTGTAATTGCAGACAATAGGGTGTGACTTGCCATGCGCTTTGTAAGTCGTATGGCATGCCAAGTCATACCAGTGTGACCAGGGGCTAAGGTTTTACCTTAACGAATGCTGTGCATTAAGGTAAAAAAAAACAAACAAAAACCTTCTATACACTAAATACTTATCTGAGCCCAATCTCAATCCAGCACTATGTCTGAGAGCAGTGGCTCTCTCCTCTCTCGACATAGCGGGGCCATGGGCCCCTGCTGCTGTCAGTCACAGCCAGTGAGGAGGGAGCAGAGCTGAGCTGCACTGCACCAACTACTAATAGCTAATGAAATAACTTAGATGAAGGAAAACCTACAGAAGGAAATTTTTCATGATGCCTAAAGCTGATGTCCAGGTTTACTTTCACTTTAAATAGTTTGTGTGGGCCAAGCTGGCCCAATTGAAGCATTTCCTTCATTAACTTGTGTATCCTCTCTATAAACTAAATGTAGCCTCAGTTACAAACAGTATACAGCTTCTTATAAATGGCTGTTAAGATGAGATTGTGACGTCATCAGCTCACCTCTACAATTCTGCCAATCAGAAGACGCTTTTTAATTCATTGACAGAATACAAAGCTGCCTATGACTAGCCAAGTGTCATTCAGCTTGATGCTGTTTTGTTGTGGGTATGAGAAAGTTCTTGTCTCACAGCTGACACACAGTACTGTATACTATTTGTAGCTGAGGCTACATACAGAGGATACACGTTAATGAAGGAAATCCTTCATTTGGGCCAGCTTGGCCCTCACAAACTAAAGTGAAAGTAAACCTGAACATCAGCTTTAAAGATAGGGTGGTATGTCAAGGAGCAGTTTTGTATTCACAGCAGACTAAAATACTCTGGTATTATGGTAGGATTAGCGCTCAAGCAGGGCTGACTTACATTACTGCCCTGTGGTTTTTATAATCCAGCAATCAATCATCTCAAGACAGATTTGAAATGTGACTTAAGTGTTCATTTGTTTACATGCAAGCTGGATGTATGCACAATACTGTTTTTTTTTATTGAGGTTTGAAAATGCTTATTCTAACTTTTGTTTGGTAATTTATTAATCCCAATGTAGGAAGCACTGTATTCTAACATTGTAAATAATTATCAATGTAATATTTTATAGAATGTAACTTAAATGTATTTATAAATTTGTGTGAGCAAATATTGTGTAATTAAAGTATTTATGAATTAAACCAATGCATACATATTTTTTCGCTTTTTTTTTTTTTTAAGAGTTATCTCAATCATCTCCACCTTTTATTTTAAATGGCTACATGTCCGATACTCTAAATCAGGGGTGTCAAACTGGCGGCCTTCCAGCTGTTGTGAAACTACAAGTCCCATCATGCCTCTGCCTTTGGGAGTAATGCTTGTAGCTGTCAATCTTGCAATGCCTCATGGGACGTTTAGTTTGGCAGCAACTGGAGGGCCGCCAGTTTGACACCTGTGCTTTAGATGCTCATGTGGCCCCTCATTTCTTTCAGTATTATTAAAACTTGATAAACTCTCAGCAAACTTACAAATGAATTACTTTTATACAGTAAGGAGAGAATCCAAAAGCGATGGTGTTATGGTATGTAAAATCTCCATAATAATTGGCACGGAGTCATATCAAAAAGGTCTTATTCCTTTATTATGATTTTATTTAACTGTCAAGAAAAATGCTGCAACCTCTAAATTGTCACAAGACTCACATTGTATTGTACAACATCCTGAATTTTCTTGTAATTACCTTATTGCTATCTCCCTTTTTTGCAAAATATATTACTTTACAGTATTCTTTATAGTACATAAAAAGGGGGTTTTCACCAGTCTTCCAACACTTCAATTTTCAGAAAAATTAAATGTAATAAAAAATCTTAATTGGCTAAATTCCTAGTGGAATGCCGAAATTGTAGCAGTGTGTATGAAAAATGATTCTAGTTCAGTGTGTTTTAATAGCAAACAGTCTCATTTGGCCTAGAAATGGAAACAGAATGGTGAACGAATGTTGAGGTTTCCAGCTTGCAGACCAGAAAACATACAATACAGTGTCGTTTCTTAGTGGTTTTTCATTTAAACAGGGTGTTCTCTCTCTGCAGTTCCATAAGGATTGCTGAGCAAACATCCTCACTTAGTCATTTAGGATCACGAGAAGTAGGCAAAGCAACTATTCACTAGTGTAAGCCCTAAGAGGGGACAAATAAGCCACTTAAATCAACAGCTTTGCGTACACTAAAAACAAATGATACATTGCAAAAATGATGTTTTCCTTTTGGGAAAGCACTTACTAATGATAATGGCACTTGTTTTACAAATAGGCACAGCTCATCTCTTGCTTTCCATCTACTTTAGCCAACAAACCATTTTCATTTTTTTAATAAGCCAGTAGAAGTTCACTCGTATACAGTAACTTCAAGTGGGTGAGTTCCTCTTGCTTGGTAATAATGGCACGAATAAAGCAATCAGTTAAGAAATATGTGAAATTTTACATTAAAAACAAGCAGTCACAGTAGTAAAATGCTGGGACCTTTGAGCAAGTGGCCTTATACCATAAAAATTACACTCTAAATCCGAACAGTCTTAAAGACAAGACAGTACTTGGTTTACATTTGGAAACAAAATGGAAATTGAGCCCATAAGCTGTACAAACACAAGAGTTTGGAAATTCTGCTAGTCAGAATTCTGCATCTGTATCAATTGGCTCAAGTTTTATCTCACATTTTTGGGTAATGTATGTAAACTGCTATATTCCCGTACCTTGCCTATTGGCTTTGTAGTACTATTTACCACATCTCAGTCTATACATCAATGCACAGTGGCTGCAAATGAATTACTATGGAATACAAAATGACATGTTAGGCTCAATTCACAAAGCTTTAATACAAGAAAAAGATCTTTTAGTCATGGAACTAATAGTTTTAAGTGTCCCTTTTTGGAAACAGGTATCCTTTTCCTGGTGTATTAGCTATGTGAAATGAGTCTATTATCTTGTGATGTTATAGTAATAAAACGTCCCTCTTTTCCGCGGGAAAAAGGATGAAGACACTTCAGATTTGGCAGCATTTTAAAAACCGTGCAACACTATACGTTAAAGTAGAACTAATAGAACTTTTCATTTTGATGTAAAGGATGGTTATACCCACTGTCAGTTTTTTCTAATCTGTGTTCTTTTGGGGAGATTTTCCTTCAGTTCTTGTCCTGTAGCCAAAACAGGAATTGAGAGGCAATCACCCCCAAAGTGAAGGGATGCCTGGTTGTCTACAAAAATATTGTCCCTGTTGGAAGATTTCCCTTCTATTTCTGTTCTGGTGACAAAGCAAAATTTGGGATTTTCTTACACTCTCACTGATAATGGCAAAAAAAGAACAAATAGAGGGGGTTAATTCTCCTAAATGGGGGTACAACAGCAATATAAGCCTGACAGCTGTTCTAATACCTCTTTAACATTAAAAAAAAGTTTTGAATTTAATTCTACTTTAATGTAAAAAAAAAAAAAAAAAAAAAGATATAAAAAGAGTAATCCTTTGTGGGTGATCTCTAAAGGAATCTACCACCCAAAACAATTTTGTTCGGGGTGGAAGATGATAAAGGCAGTTAGTGCATAAGATTATTCTTTCCTCTGAAGATCAAGCATCCTGAATTTTCTCCAATATTATTTTACTACACACACTTTTACTGCCTGTCTGGGTGTCGGATAGTCCCCCATTAAATTCAGTAGGAACAAACAAAATAGTGACAACTGAGATCACATGATTAGCGTTCGTATGAAAAGTTAACAGAAAATATATCTAAAGGCTTTGGTAAATGAAACCAAAAAATTGGAGAGAGAAACTATTGTCCAGTGTAACAGAGGCTGAACATGAACTAGATTAAAAGACATGCAGGTCAAAGTAAAAAATAGAATATTTCATGCTATGTGAAATAATAAAACATAAATCATTTGATTTATGCAATTCTGAGTGCCTATTTACAGTATTCCAACTGTACATAAGTGATCATTGGACCGTCTAATAAAAAGTTACTTCAGAAGTGCAATTAATAAGTAGGAATGTGCTCTCTTGTGAGAGATATATTAAAGCTATCATATTCTGAATAATGCATTTAAATAACATTTTAAAAAAAAAAACGTTTCCAGGCTTTGCTGGCCTAGGCGTTAAAATATACTAAAGGTTAGGATAATACTCCTGTTGTCTAAGACAGGTTAATTGTATCAAAAAGCATAGAATAAAAAAAAAATTAATCTATTGTTTTGAAGGAAAAGGAGCTGCACCAAATGGGTCTAAATCTAATGGCTGTGCCTGGGTTTGCTGGCTTTGTTGGTGTGTTACACTTTGTAACACTAATTCTGTGAAAGGCACTGCACCAAAGTCATCCATTTTGACATTATCACTACTAAGATATGCTCCATGTAGTGAGCTCTGTCTTGGTCTGCCAGCTGCTGCTGAGTGATGGTCTCCACGGAAATCTGGAAGTCCATGATGCTGTGGTTGTTTCAAATCTTGTGGATGAAAGGGTTTGGCACCAAAAGGGTCCACCATGGTTTCATCTGTTTGCAAGATGTTGTTACGATCCTTCACATCTGTAAGGGAAATGCTAATATTTTCCTTTGAGTCTGATATTGTGAGAAACTCATTGCTGCTTTGGGAGTCCCGTCTCCCTCCTTTTTTGTGCCGACGGACTTTTTCTGGAGTGCGGTAACTGGGCTTGATGGTTTTCTTTGTGCTTGAAGGAGTGCCATGATGACGTTTGCCATTGTTGTTTGCTGGCTCTTGTTTCATACGTCTCTGGCGAGAGGATATCTTTTGCATGTTGCGTTGCTGCTTAACTTTGTGTAGTGTCTGACTTTCAGCTATTTCATCAAAAGGCACCAGCCCAAAAAGGTCCTGCTCATTAGATGACATTGTTTCTTGTGTAGGAACAGGCTGGAAGGGTGAGCACCCAAACATGTCCACATTACCAGAAGAAACAGGAGAAGTGACCTGACCATCCTGCTGATCATGTTTCCTACTAAATGGTGCTTGTGAGAACACATCAAAGTCATCTAGTTCTTTTTTGTTCCTTAATGTAGTGGGAGGATTCTTGAGGCGTTGCTCATCGGATTCTTTATTTTTAGTGTTAATGCAGAAAAATGGCACAGCCCCAAAAGCATCTAGTTGTTGTTTATCTAGGTTTCTCACATTGTTTTTGTTAAGTGTCTGAGTGGTATTTTCCCTGTGATGACTTTCTGTAGCTTTTGTCTGCCTGCTACTGTTAGCATTCAGACTAGAGGTCTTTGCTTTAGTGCGTTCATAGTCTGAGTCTGAACTGTGCTTTTTTTCTTCTTCCTCCTCTTCATCAGAATCCATTAACAAAGGTCTCTGCCCAGTATTTTCTGGTTCGGTGTCATTGTCTTCATGAAAGACTCCTTGATCTGCTTGTAACACTTCATCTTCCTGATCCTCTTCTTCACTGCTTTTGGGGGAAGGGGGATCTGATTCAAAATCACTCTCAGAGTCTGCTCTTTCTTTCACAGTCTTTTCAGAGGCAGACTCTTCTGCTTTCTGACACTGCTTCTGCTCTTTTAAAGAGTCATTCTGTTTTATATCTTTGTTTGGGACTTCAGCAACACTATCAGCTACTTTTTCAGATATTTTCCCATAGGAATCTGAAAAAAAAATCAAACAAGTCAAGTTATACTCGGCAGAAAAATGCAAACATTTGAGCAGTATTTATTATACCTTTTTCCCTTGATGGATGTGGATGTCTGTATTTTGCTGCAATTTAGAGTTAAAAAGTGTATCTACTGTAAATGCCAGTTTTTTTAATGTCTGGATAGGGCAACTACGTATTAAAACCCCTGTAATTTTTAAGTTATAAATACTTTTATTTTCATTAGAAAATTCCATACACTGTAAAAGTATAATATCCAGGTAAATCCCAAGATCAAAACTTTAGTTACATAATATAGACAACGCATTTGATAACAGGACCAACGTGTGTCAAGAAAAGTATATAAAAAGGTCCGACCGATCGTCCTTATGAGAAAATACAAACTGTAGCTATCCATGAACAATGACATAGAAGAGGTCACATACCGTTGTGTTCAAAATAACAGCAGTGTGTTTAAAAAAGTGAGTAAAGCTCAAAAACCTTATAATAGCTTTTATTTCCCTACATGCAAATGCATTGGGAACACTGCAAAGTCTACTCCAAATCAAAACATGAAGAAAAATATTTAAAAGTGAAGAAAAAGGAACATTAAGCTGTTCAAAAAAATTGCATTTTTCTTTACAAACTCATATTTCCTGTATAAACTGAAAAATGCTTGAAGCTCTAGCTTTCCTGTGAATCACTGAACTAATATTTAGTTGTATAAGCACTGTTTCTGAGAACTACTTCACATCTGTGTTGCATGGAGTCAACCAACTTCTGGCAATTGTGAACAGGTATTCCATCCCAGGATGATTGGACTACATCCCACAATTCCTTTGCATTTCTTGGTTTTACCCCACAAGTTTTCTATTGGATTAAGGTCAGGGGATTGGGCTGGCCACTCCATAACATTAATCTTGGCAGTCTGGAACCAAGATGCTTACTGGTGTGTTTGGGGTCGTTGTCTTCTTGAAACACCTTATGCCGAAGAGGAAATGCCCTTGAAATGGGTAACATGACCTCTTCAAGCAATATGATGTATTCAATATGATCTATGGCATGCGATAAATAGGCCCAACAAAATAGTATGAGAAACAGCCCCATATCATGAAGCTTGCGCCACCATGCTTCACTGTCTTCACAGTGTACTGCGGAATTCAGTGTTTGGGGGTCATTTGACAAACTGTCTGCAGCCCCTAGACCCAAAAAGAACAATCTCGCTATTGTTAGTCCACAAAATGGTGCGCCATTTCTCCTTAGGCCAGTCAATGTGCTCTTTGGCAAATTGTAACCTCTTCAGCCCATGCAGTTTTTTCAACAGTGGGACTTTGCAGGGGCTTCTTGCCAAAAGCTTGGCTTCATATAGGTGTCTTCTAATTGTTACAGTACTCACAGGGAACTTCAGACTTTCTTTGATCACCCTGGAGCTGATCATCGGCTGAGTCTTTCCCATTTTGTCTATTCTTCGATCCGTTTGCATTGTAGTTTTCCATTTTCTGGTTTTGGTTACCATTTTAAAGCATTTGAGATCATGTTAGCTGAGTAGCTAACATGATCTCAAATAATTTTCTGCACGTATTTATGTTTTCCCCTCTCCAATCAACTTTTTAATTAAAGTACACTGTTCTTCCGAACAATGTCTGGAACGACACATCTTACTGAGATTTTCAGAGAGAAATGCACTATATCCAGCATGTACAACATCTGTTGCCTTCGTCCTTCAATAAGGGCAACCTGCTTTTTTCACAAACTGAATGACCTCACTAATTGAACTTCATACTGCTATTATTTTGAACACACCCCTTTCAATTAATGATTCAATTACACAGAATCAGCAGCATGCATGTCATGACTGTTCACTTTCTATTACTCTACTACATCTACTTGTTACTTGCCTACAATTATTTGCCATGTAGAAATATAATTCATACCAAAAACCGTGATTGATCTGGTTAGTGATGTTGGACTGCTTTTATTTTGAACATAACTGTATATGAAATTGAGAAGAAAGAAAAGGGAGCAGCAAGTGGGGGGATGGAGGCAGAGCAAGAGATGATCATGCTGTATCCTGGTTATGTGATTGAGTGATGTTGTGCAGGATGGGTGGTGGTGTTGCCTATAACTATCAGGCCTAGGCTATACATTTGGATTTGACACTATCCGAGTCCATATACAGAAGCCAGGGGCTCACGATTTCAAAGTGAGTTTTGTTTCTATCATGCAATTGAGCAGTCACATTTTCCATTCCCATGGAATGACACATTCCTCTAGTCCATTCAGCAAGTGATGGGCTTATTGAATATTTCAAGTGGTGTGGCATCAACACACAGGTTGATAATAAAAATAAGTGGAGACTCTTCTTGATATGAGGATCAGATCCTGTTAGGATAGATACAGGTGCATCATTTTAAAGACTATCTTTTGTAGACAATAGTAAAAACAAAATTCAAAATGGGTTGGATATGAGGACAATCCCACCATATAGGACATAAATGGTCTTCTCTCCACCACACCCCCCAACAGGTATCTGGGATGGATAGTATCATTTTATATAATGTGGAGGGTTATCTGTACCATGTAGTTAATATTTTAAAGTCCTTTCCTGTACTGAAGAGACCACACTAAGTTTGTGTGGGAGAATGAAGAATTTAGGTAAAGAGTGCAAATGGAGCGCTTGCTCCAATTTTGTAATATAGTAAGGCCTAACCGGAAAAAATTACATAAGTAGTAAACCATAAAGTAACAAGATATTCTAGGGGTCAAAAGTCACGAAGTTTGAAGCACTGTAGCCAATGTCCATCTAAAGCAGATGATGTGGGCACTGAGGATGCAAAAGGTTTTAGTATCTGCTTCTAAAACAGGACATACAAAATGAAGGATGCTGGAAAACCCATAAAATAGTTTATTATCAATGCCAGGGGGATGTTCCCCCTAAGAGGTGTCAGTGGGCCTAAATACGTAGATATTATAGAGGATCTTAAAAGAGAGTCCCAAATGTTATTAAGAGGGAAGCTAAATGGTATATTTGATGGTTTAGGGTTGGCAGTAGGCTGTGTCCATGGAAGAGAGTACAAACCTGATATCTTTTTTTTTCTGTGGTTACCCAATGTTTGTGTGATCTATCTAGAATGTGCACAAATAAGGAATATTTTATAGTATAATTCTAAGAGTAGACCCAAACGTCCTCCAGTTTTAAGCCTAACTCAAAAGTGCAAGGGTTTACTTCCCCAAATCCTGCCAAGTTTGTTACTGTTTGTGTCTATGCTTGGGGTGGATTCATACTTGTCCAAGTGAGCATTACTGTCAAGACAGAGAGTGATAGAAAATATTCCAATAGTAACACCTGTTTCAGTGATGACTCTTCTCACTTTCTGTTCTACCATCTAGCACTTTGGCTTTAGATATACTTTACATCTATCCCAAATCAGTTCCTCCTGTTCATTAGTGTGAGTATAGAGATCTTTTTACATAGGATGAAATTTAAAGATGCCCTTAAAAGCCTTCAGGTTTGGGTGTAATATTCTTAAATAATGAAACCACCAGTATGGTCATTTAAGCAGTCATGAAAGAGGTCAGAAATAAATATCAAAGCAAATTTAGGCATCTTTTGTAGCAAAAAAAAAAAAGTGAATGAGTAGAATAAGATGCAGGAGGAGGAAGGTAGGAAAAGACAAAATGTTTGAGAGGAATGAAGACGGGTATGGAAGGATGAAGAGAAAGAGGAAGTGTAATACATGATTAGCAGTAATAGGAAAATTATTTACATTAGACCTTCTTAGATGCATCCTAATATTTACATGTTTTGTACAGTTGGTTTCAGTCTTCAACTCCCAGCACATAAATGTTCATTTAAATATATTCTTCAGTAGCCACAAAGGATATAGACTCACGTTGTATGCACCAAATGCCTTCGCAAACCCATACAATGTCTTGTAAGTACAATGGCCGCATCATACCTGTGCTGAACAAAGCCTGAGCAGAGCTGTATATGAGACCTAGCCAGTCCCTTCACTACAGGCTACCTATAGTAAACTACGGAGGGCGAATACAAAACCCGTCACCTTGCACAAACAGCGCAAGTAGCAGAAGTGTTGTTTCCTGTTGCCTTACAATACAGACCTGGAAGAAATGCACAAAGGATACCAAGATTCAAGTAAAAATACAGATGCCTTTTTGTATTTAGACAGTATTTGTTTAGCCTGGATTTTAGCTTTAATTATCTATTGACATTTAAAAATAATGCACAGATGCCATTTCACTCATACTGCCCCTAATTGATTTGATGGCTGATTCTATTTTAGGGGAAGCTTTCAAAATACCACCAATACCAGGGTTCAGAACGCTTTTCCCCTGCAACAATTATTCTTTGAATTCTTCTTACCATTTGAGGACTGTAGACCATGATAAAAAAACAACATATAAACAAGAATCAGCTCTCTTATATGCCAACAAAATGGTTATTTTGTCCAATTTCAGAATTTATTTTTCGTCTACAAATATCCTTTAATACAGTTCATAAAACTAAAGGGTGCCTTATTTGGACTTCGTCTTCCTGACGTTTCAGTCTTGAAGTCTGCAGTTAAAATGTGATAAAAAAAAATATAAGTGAAAACAATTCAGGCATCAACATCTGCTGCCAATGCAAGAGCTTAAATTTCTCCACTTATAATCGTGTCTGTAGCCTTTCAAGGACAATTGCTCATCCCTCCAGCACCAGCCAGGGGAACATCTTTAATCATACAAGATCATCCCAATCTTCAAGGAAATGTTATGTTCTGATGTTCTTTTTCCCAACATCCGATTAATCCTGATTAAGGCCGTGCAACTAGTAATTACATGCCTTCTGCTGCATCGTCATCTGGGGGTGGGAGCAACAAGCTTTAGGTTTTCTCTCAATTGGTAACATACTGATACCATCATTTCACAGCAATTGGCCACATGTCAGGCCCAAGGATTACCGAGACATTTCACCTAAATCTACACAATTTCTTTGAGGACTGGCATAGAAGCATC